TACACTATTCGTGGGTCTGGTTTGATGTTTCCCAACAATTTCATAGTGTCAAGTTGTGTTTGACTTTATCACTGCTAATAGCTAGATCACAAATGTTTGCCTACCTGATGCAATTTTCTCTCTTAAAGCAAGAATGAACAGAAATCAGAATTCAGAAGCCAAACCAGAAATAGTCCTACTCGTTGTTAATGGCCGTTGTGCAATGCTGAAGTGAGAAACAAGCATTCTAACTTCAAATCTTGACTGGCTTAAGTTAATGTATATGGTACTTTTACATTTGGTCATTTGATTGCTGTTTATCATCAGTCTTAGTCACGGTTCTACATTGTGTCAGTTTCCTCATTCACACACTGATTGTTGTGATCATGACCATGGTATTTATTGCGGATTAGTTGCTGGTTCTGTGTACTTCTTTCCATGGATGTGGAGATCAAGATTTGGATGTACTCACATTTGCCTTTGGTTTTGCATTATGTGATAGTGAATTATAATGCAGTCTTTCTGTTTGAGTATTTATTTCATTTAATGAGATTGAACCTATTACTAGTTTCTATGCTCTTATTCTATCTAACTGATAAAGATAAGATGAATAAGTCTCATTGATGTAAACATTTTCTCTTTACCAGCTCATTTTGCTTGGAGCTGTTCCATTCCGTAGGGATGTTTCACACTTGCAGAAGCTTGGAGTACATGGCGTTGTAACCCTGAATGAACCATTTGAGACTTTAGTACCATCATCAGTATATAAGGCAAGTAACACACAAATAATTTTATATGTAAAAGATGAATAGCATTGTACAGAGCCTTTAACCCTTTATAATTGCACGGAATTTTATGTCCACACTCTAAGCATAATTGTTGCAATTGGAGTCATGACCAACTGGTATCCTTATGACATAAGTGTTCATATGTTAAAAATTTACAGTCGCGTGGAATTGATCACCTTCTTATTCCTACAAGAGATTATATGTTTGCTCCATCACTTGTGGATATTAGTCAAGCTGTTGATTTCATTCATAGTAAGTGAGCATCAGAGTTTGTCCAGATTAATTCTTTTTAATTAAGAAAATATTTAGTTGATTATACAGAATCGATGATGAAGTTACTGGCCATCACATCACTTTCTGTTAGATATTAAGATTTTCAATGTTAACTTTTCATGCTTAATCAGGAAACGCATCTCGTGGGAAGATGACATATATTCACTGCAAAGCTGGAAGGGGACGGAGTACAACGATTGTCTTGTGCTATCTGGTAAGTTGCTTATTCTTCTTTTAGAGAAACTATCATGTCAAACATTCAACTAAAAACTTAACATTCATAGTAGGCAAGGTTCCAAATTTGTGGTTTTCACTAAAATCATGGTTTTCACGCTTTCGGGGCGAGGACCCGGACTATTGCTAGCTATTTAGAACCTTATAGTGATAACAAAATTATCAGATACCACTCATTTGGAATTAATTGTATTGTGCTTCAGTGGAAATTTTTATGCTCGATTTTTATCAGGTGAAGTACAAGAATATGACACCTACCACAGCATTTGAGCATGTGAGATCTAAAAGGGCTAGAGTGCTGCTGACCCGTTCCCAGAGGAAGGTACTGGACATATCCTAACTCATTTCTGAAATTACCAATTCATTGAACTAGCAATGTTTGGTTTTGTTGCTCTCCAGTTCTGTTGTTTCTTTGATGTGACAAGTTCCATATATTAAGTTACTGAGGGAGTACATTATACAGATCGACATAAGTTACCTGTGAGAGGTAGTTAGCAGTCAACATATAGGTGGTGATAGCTGATAACTAACTGAAACAGAAATTATGTTGCACTTTAGCGCCCTCTCCCATCATTTGGCACTTATCTTTGTTAAGGGGTTAGTTAAACTGGCTTCCATCAAGCACAAAGGGAACATCGCTGCCAGGAAATATGTTTGTTCTAACTCTTTGCATCTGGACCAATCACCTGCAGCCTATATGACATATGTAAAAAAATGATTCTTTTGTGGTTTGATCATTTAGGCTTTGTTCGTTTAATCCCCGCCCCCGCCGGGATCGGCGGGGTTTTGGCCTAATCCACGTGCTTTTGACCCCGGTCGGGGTAGGATCCCGACCTACCTTATATGCGTCTTCGGTTAAACCCGGCCGGGTTGATATCCCATCCAAATCCACCCCAAACCACAGGGATTCCACTGGGTTTTCACCCACGTCTCCCCACCCGTGGAACAAAACCAGTCGTCTCAGTCTTCTCGGCTCGAAAGAAAAAGGAGGAGCGGGCGAGAGCGGCGGCGGCGCCGACGCTGACAGGGAAGAACTAGGCGACGGCGAGGGGCCGGAGCGGGCGATCTCTCTCCTCCACTGAAGACCGGCTGCTGCGCCATCCTTCTACCTCGCCCCACTCTCCCCAAGTCAGCAGCCGATCTGCGACCCTCTTCTTCCATCCCCGGCGCGAGCTCGGCGGCCGCACCAACCTACTCCGGTGGCCCTCCCCAACGTTTCTATGCCGGTAAGATCTTCTCCCCCACCCTTGTTTCCTTCCTCTCCCCCCTTTTGATTTCTAGGGTTTCCCGTCCCCTTTTCCACCGGTGACAAGGGCCGTCTTGCCGGCGAGGCTCCACCTCTCCTCTCTGCTTACTACAGCTTCCCAGTACCCTCCTCTGTACTTGCTCTACCTGTGATTTGGTGCAAATGGTGTACCTAGTTGAATCTAACCAAATCTGCTACATAGTCGAATCTTTTTGTCAATGTCATTAGCAGTGCACATATATGCTACTAGTAATCTAGTATTTATTTGTCCCTGAGATTTAGTACTATATTTGCAGCTACCTGTAGAGAATCAACAAGATGCAATTGTAGCTATATAGTTTTGTCAATGATATCCTTGGGAGGTGAGAAAAGTTGAGTTTTATGTAACTGAGGTGAACATCAACTACATGAATTTTTTCTGATAGTGGGGGTGAAGAGAAATTTAGGTAAAATGCTCTGAGATCAAGGCATCTTGAAGCCATGCAACTACGACAGTGCATTTTACTAATTTAGATGCAGAAAGTTTTACTTGCCAGAACATATAGAATATATTGAGATGTGTAGACATAAAATGTTTTTGTAATAAGAGAAAAAAATATATTGCCTCCATTAGAACGATAACTGTTTCATACTACTTTATGTTGCTTGACCTGACTTGTATGTGCTACATTAGAACGATAACTGTTTCATACTACTTTTGATGTCTAAATCTGCATTTTGCCTCCATTTTCTGTAGGCCAGCTTCACCGCCTCACAGCCGCAGCAAGACCCCGCTTGGGGCAGCATCGTGAAGACTAAGGTATATTAATCTTGATGTACATACTTGGTTTTCTTTGTACCCTATTGGGACTCGCATCTTCATCTAGCTCACATGAACCTCCCTTGTTCATCTAGTAACCTGAAGCTGATGGCTCAAGTAGCCCAGATGAACCTCCCTTGTTCTCTTATTTCCTTGCAAGATCATCTAGAATATGCAAGAATCCCCCTTGTAGCTATTTTCATGCATACTGGTCTTGAACACCCAGAATATGTGTAGTGTGTGCATCCATTGGTATCCGCCAGATTTCATAACTTTTTATCTGAAATTTGATTTCCCTAGAATGCACCATGATAAATGCTTATGAGATGAGAATCCATTCATGTACATCATCTTATCTTGTCCTTTTTATGTACTTATCTTGTCCTTTCTTTCTCCTGTTTTCCCCTGATTATGACTGTAATGGAAGCTCTTATTTATACAGTGCATATTGGAACTGAATTGATCTATCTCCGCATTTCATTTAATTTTGCTTTGCCCTCCTTTTGCAAGTATTATTTTGTACCAAAGAAAGAAATCTTTTTTTTTGCGGGGAAAGAAAGAAAGAAATCTTTGTTCATAAACTTGTGATTTTGGTACTGTTCTCTGAAAGTAGACCATAGTTTTTTGTGGTCATACGAATTTAGTGTATTCTTACACGATGTATAACGCTGTATCATTGATATATATGCCTGGTTGTTCATTTCTAATATTATTATTCTGTGCTGCTATTTGCAGCTTTCCATTGGAAGATCATTTGTTTAGTGGATATGGATGCGATGTTGCTGCCCATTTGATCCGTGAAATTTTGAAATCAATGCATGATTATTTTATGATCTTTCTTTGCTAGCTGGTCATCAATGCTTTGATATCAGTCCTTTGATGTGGACTGACCGCCCTTTTTTGCCAATGCAGTGCATCAATCACTACGGAAGCGACATCGGCGAGATTAGAGTCGTCTGTTCTATACAGCAATAATTTGATCATGGTCGGAAATATAATAATATTGTACATCGGTGATTGTTGATTAGGGTCGTTTTTTGACTTCTAAATATTCAGAATTCATGTTATAGTTTGATATTTTTTCTTCTAAAATGTCAACTTGCAGCAAGCTTCTCATATAATGTTTTGTTCTGACGCAACAAAAATACTGTTATGCGGATTTGGTGCTTGGATGTATGAAATTTATAGCAAGTTTGTTGTGTGTGTGATGTTCTTTTGATTTGGTGCAAAGAACAACGATAGGAGGTTTAGTTGATTTGGTGCTGAAGTGTACAAAGGCCATTGATGGGAGGTTGCCGGGGACTAACCGAACACATATTGTTGTACAGGGATTAGCAGGGTTTGTTGGTTAGGGGATTGGGTGACGAGGTGGGGATCACCAAATCCCTGTGTGGGTCTAATCCCCTAGAGGTTTGGTTCCAGTGGAACCGAACAAAGCCTTAAAGATGATTAAACATGGAACTCATATCTAATCTGTAAATCAATGCTGCTACCTGTAAACTGCTTGGATCGTGACATGTTAGCCACTTATATCATATAGCTGCACTAAATTTATATAATGTGGACTGTGGACCAAACTCACTCCCAGTGGGCCTAATCCAGCCCACTAATTACAGGACGAATTAAAAGATGAATTATCTGCTTTCCAGCGGCGCAATCACTGTAGAACTCCGAATTTCCGAGGTGGTCTTGAAAGAGAGGCAGCTCCTCATGTGCCCATGTTGGCCCCTTTGGTGGACGATGGTTTAAATTACATTAAATTAAATCAATGCCCGTCGAAAGTACTTAAATATATGCCCTGATAATGACAGGTGGTTCAAGAATTCAGTACGAAGGTCGCTGGAACAGCAGCAGCAACATCATCATCTCCATCAGGGGACGCGGTACCGCAAACTGAAGATGGCTCTGGTTTGCCAGGCGTAATCAGGGAGGATGCCAGCTCGCCTTCTCACAAGGCCACCCCATCAGGGCCAATGATGAAGAAGATGCTGGCATGCCTGCTTCCTTCCCCGATGCGATCTGGCGGCGACTCGCCGTCGCATGCCGACCTGAGGGCACCCTAGCGCCGTACCGGTCCCGGTCCCAATCTCAAGTGGTTCGTTGACGTGGAGCCGACGCGATTGATTCCTCTGCCGGAAGATCTTCCTAACCGCGCTGCTCATCCTTGTTTCTCATGTGTTCTCACGTTGTTCTGTCTGGATCAAAGTTCGTTTGGTCCTTGCTCCCTGCATGCATTGTTGTTGGGGGCTGGTTCTGCATCTTGTTCTTGCCTGACTGCCCCTGTGTTTAAGTTTCTACAGGACCAGGACCTCTGATTTTTTTTTTTTTTTTTGTAAATAAAGTAGCAACTGTTTAAACTTGCAAGGCCACCATACAACTTCTGCTGAAGACTAGCTGCGGAGTTTCGAGATTGACGAAATCGACAGTTTCCATGGGAAAAAGCTCTGTAGAATTTTCTTGTGGATGGCAGCGCCCGGAATAACTTTTCTGCTTGAGTTGGACGCCGAATCTGTTGGGGGGAAAGTGAACCCGAGTTGGGATAGCAAAATCGGTGCTCCAGCCCTGCAAAGTTTCCTCCTGTCGCCGTCGGAATGCGGATCGCCTGATCGGATCGTAATTTAGGATCTGGATTGGCGATGAGTGGGGTCACCGACAAATCCCCAAAGCAAACGGTTTGGTTTTGCTTTTCTTCTCTTCTTCTCTGATGATAGCTACCTCTTGGGACACCCTGTTGCCACTTGTCATGAGAGGTTCTTTGATCATGGCTCCTTTTGTGGACTTCATTATTAGTAGTAGCATTATGTCCGTATCAAAATGCAAGACATTTTTGTAGCCTAGTTTAGTTTACACAAAACATCTTATATTTTGACACGGAAATAGTGCTTTTGGACCGTCGCCATGTATAGATTTTTGATCAGTCGCCTGTTGGCACGGCACCAACTTAAAACTATCGCACTTATCTCTAACTCGCCAATGAGAACTATTCGAAGAAGTTGCACCCGTCCCCCACATGTTGCCACTGTCATGTCAAATTGTTGGCTGGTCCTTCGACTTGGATTGTTCTTACGACATGCTATGGTGATGGATCAACTAATTTTCTATCCAGCTAAATATTGGCTAACGCTGTTCAGTGACGTATTTTGTTCATCGAAAATCATGCCGTCGTTCCCTTTTGGATAATATTTAGCGAGCAACACCTGGCGTGTTCCCAAATTCTTCGTAATGGTTAATTGTTCATCACAATTGATCAAAACTATCATTATTGACTTGACAACCCCGTCCAAAGCTATGATTCATCACGGAACTGCGTGTCTACTACTACCATCCCATATAGACGTAGAATGCATTATGAAATGCATGGATTCCTTGTGGACAACCACACCTTAAGGGTTTTGTTTACATAGTGACTATATGTTAAATAACACAAAAAAGGTACACTAGTCGACCTCCTCAAACGGCACATGCCCATCTTTGCACCGCCAACCATCTTTGACCATAACAATAACAAATGGACGCCGGATAAACTCTACAACACGTTGGTAATTAACACAGTGGGTTATCAACGACCTAAAGTTATTTTAACCCGCCAAAAGAAAACTATTGTTGTCGGAGTAATGGGCCACGGGTAGGCTAACCCGAGTCCCAGAACCTTTCAAGACATCAGGGCAGGCTGCGCCCCTCAAGATCCCAGGACACGGAGCCGCCATTAGAGAAGTCGGCAGCAAGACAACCGACTAGCCGCTCGCGGCCGAGTCCCAGGAACGACTTCAGGCTAAGCCGACTCCTGACTGCCGACTTCCCAAGAAGCCGGCCTCGGGGAGTCGGACCGCGACTCCAATGAACCCCATATCCTCATCAGGAGGGACATGACCGGGGAGTGGCTACAGTAAAGCCGCTCCCGCCCTTTACCAGGGGCAGGCATGGCCACAGCACGCCGTACTCGGGAAGATCTCCGTGCGGCGTGGCACTGTTGCCGTGCCGGCCCTGACATCAGCACCAAAGGACCGAATCCTGCGCCCACGACGGCTTGTCTGTACGACCCTGGGGCGATGGGTCCCACCAGCCAGTGGGACCCCAGGAGACGGCAAGTGCGCCACCAGTCGGCCCCCGAGAGTCGGCCAGATCTTCCCCCAGGGCCCACGCGCCATTAATCAGATGTGATGGAGAGTGGCAATAGTGATCGCCCGCCAGGCGGCGGGGCTGTTGCCACGACTCCATGACCAAGCCCGCGTCATCAGAAACACGGCTACAGTGATCAGCAGCCGACAAGACCCGCCCGCGGCGGACGCGACCTGTCGGCTCCGTACCTAGCCAGTCAGCGGGGCCCAGCAGTCGGCGGGCCCCAGCAGTCGGCGGAGAAGACGGAGGCCGGAGGCACTGACGCGGGCCCAGCCAGATTACCATTGTACCCCTGGGGGGTAGGCCTATATAAACCCCCCAGGGCACCCATGCAAAGGGTTGGAATCCATTAGCTCTAGACCAGATCATATAGGAGGGAGAGAGCTAGTCTTGCCCTCTCCTATCTCCAGGAAACAGCTCAAGGAGCAATCGTGTAAACACTTTGCCATAGTGATCATGCGGAGACCCCGTAGAGCAGCAGTAGGGGTATTATCTCCCCGGAGAGCCCTGAAGCTGGGTAAGATTCGCCAGCGTGCATGTTTACGCCTCATCCCATTTCCAGGCACCGGCGACGTTCTACTCGCCCCCACCATGATAAGTCATCCTTTGGCATATGTCGCACCCAACCCCCGACATTTGGTGCCCACCGTGGGGCCTGGTGCACCGTCGTCCGGAGACCTGTTCTGAATGGGAACCCTTTTCCTCCCCGGCGAGCGCAGCTAGCCAGGCACGCCAGACGGAGTTTGCGCCGACCGCGCTGCACGACGTTGAGATCGCCTGCGCAGCTAGCCGCCTCGCCGAACTTGTCGGCGAGGTTTGCATCTCCGACGAACCTGCATCCAACGCAGGCACGGGCGGCTCCGAGAGCCTCCTTGCGGGCCTCCTCGATCAACTCCATGTCGCCGGCGAGCCTGCCGTGGACTTGGAGTCTGTAGGTTCCACCGACCCGATGCTGGTCGACTCCGACACCGCGTCGCTCGACGCGTTCCCCACTAATGTGGTGGTCTACAACGAGCCTCTCCCTCGTACGGAGAGCGGCGGAAGCACCGTCACCGAGGTGCTCGTCATCAGTCATGACGATCCCTCCGGCGGAGGAGCACATGACCCACTTGGCGCGGCGCTACAAGACCTGACTGCGCCCATTCCGGAAGACGCTGACACGGAGACGTTGGAGGCGCGCCGCCTTCAGCTCGTCGAAGGTGCGAAGAAGCTGGCTAGCATGAGACGCTTGTCAGAAGCCTGCCAGCGAGAGATGGATCGCGCTGTTGGTGGCTCGCCAGCCCCGGCTGGGCCCAGCCGCCTTGGCACGGTCCAGCAGCGCGGCGTAGCCATCACCAACCTGTTCGGGGCAAGTCGCCCTGTGTATGCTACACCTGCGGAGAACATTCGAGCCGCCCAGGCGGCGGCGGACGAGCTGGACAATTTTGAGGGCGAAGAGCGTCGCCTGATGATGGAGCGAGTCCAGCGGCTCCTCGACGCGGCTGCCGCGCAGAACGAGGCCGGCTGCCGCACAGAGGCGCCACGGCGGCAAAACGACAACCTTCGCCGAGACCAAGGCGCGACGTCTTGAACGCCGACTGGCGGCGCCTGAGGAAGAAAGGACAAGGATCCGACTGTCAGCCACAGTCGGACTCACATTACCATAGAGCGTGACCGAGACGGCCGCCCGAGAGCAGTAGAGCGCCGGGATGACTGTCCGCCTCCTCCTCCTCGCAAGGAAAGGCGAGTCTCCCCGCTGCCTGTTGATCATCCGACTCTTGGCGACCGCCTTGGCCGCCGAGAGGGAGTCGGGGAAAACGACGCCCGCCACCGGATCGACCGGCTTCACCGATCCCTGGCGCTGGAAGAAGAAGACGAGTTGGGTCCGCCTTGTTTCGGGCCCCGCATTCGAGACGAGCCTTTTCCCAAAGGGTTCACGCTCCCAAGAGACACACCCAAGTACACCAGTTCCGTGAAGCCGGAAGACTGGCTAGTCGACTACTCCACGGCTGTCAGCATAGCGAACGGCAACAAGCGTGTCGCCGTAAAATACGTTCTGCTCATGCTCCAGGGCACGGCCCAGACATGGCTGAACAGCCTGAAGCCCCGCAGCATCAACAGATGGGTCGACTTCACCGAAGCATTCGTCCGCAACTTCACCAGCACATACAAGCGTCCTCCCAAGCCTCGTCAGCTCTCCTTGTGCATGCAAGGTCCCGACGAGTCGACTCGCAACTACCTCACGCGTTGGGCCGAGCTTCGGAACTCCTGCGAGGGCGTGCACGAGGTGCAGGCTATCGAGTACTTCACCGCCGGGTGCAGAGAAGGCACCCTCCTCAAGCACAAGCTCCTCTGCGACGAGCCAGAAACCCTCGACGAGCTGCTGATCATAGCAGACAAGTACGCCACGGCCGACTCCTCCATGAAGGTGGAGATTCAAGTTAGCGCAACTGGCAAAGTGGCCCCTCAAGCTCCAATAACTCCGGCGGGAGATGCTAGTCGGCGGCAACAGCAGAGTGACCACAAGCGCAAGGCCCCGCAGCCGGCTTCCAGCAGCCGGCAGGTCGCGATAGTTGAAGCCCAGCAGCCGGATGGGCAGCCTCCACCCAAGCGACAGAAAGGTGGCAAGCCCAACTGGTTGCCGGCCTTCTCATACGAGCAAACCCTGGATGGTCCTTGCAAGTTCCATAGCGGCGCGAAGCCGTCGAATCACACCACCCGGAAGTGCCACTGCCTCACCAGGATCGCCAAAGGAGACGGCCTCCTACCTCCCCCGCCTGCTGGGCAGCCGCCACCGCCTCTGCCCCAGCAGCCGGCTGTCAGGCTAGCCGACGCAGTACAAGACGAATACCCCGAAGAACACTGAGCCTACATGGTATTTACCAGTATGGCTAATGATCGACGTAGCAGGCGGCTGCAGCGACAAGAGGTGAATGCAGTAGCATCAGAGACGCCAGAGTTCATG